CCCCAGCAGACCAGGGAGACCCGAGCAAAGCCGCACAGGCGGAGGGACCCCGCCGCCCGTGTGGTTTTGCTCCTGTCTCCCTGGTCTGCTGGGGGGGACTTCCCCCCCCAGCAGACCAGGGAGACGTGGAGCAGCTTTTCTCGCCCCGGAGGACGGGGGCAGCGGGACTGCAGCGCATCTGGGCGTCCCGCCGCTCCAGTCCTCTGGGGCGAGAAAAGCCCCGTTTGTAACTGCGGATCCGACATAAGTCGGATCCACGTAACTCGGGGACTGCCTGTCGTTTATTTTGAAATTTGGCGTGTCTATACAGTGCCAAATTTTGAAATAATGCGCTATTTCAAGGTATCCTTTATCCCTCGTGCAACAACATTTACAGGGATGGCGAAATAGCACGCGCCCATTATTTTGAAAAATATTTTGAAATAATGGGTGCTTATGTAGATGTGGGGCAGCTATTTTGGGATACTTCCTGTACCCTGAAATAGCTGTGCAGTGTAGATGTACCCTTAGTCTGTAACTAAAAAAACTTAAACAATGAATGGTCCTGCAGCACCTTAGAGACTAACAAAATGTGTAGATTGTATCATGAACTTTCATGAGCACAGCCCACTTCTTCAGATTAAACTTCTTCAGTGGAGAAGTCGCGTGGTTTATGAGGAGCCAGTACTGTAGGGGGACATGAATTTGCTGTGGAGCAAGCCTACAAGGTCCCTAGATTTCATGCAGAGCTGTTAACTGCAGTTTGAGCAGGAGATAAGGAATGAATGGGAGAGTGAACCCTGGCTAAGTGCTTGTGGGGGAGGCTGTGCAGGGAAAGAAGGGGACAATGGAATAAAGGGTAGTAGAGAGTGTAGATTACAAAACAATGAATGGAAGGAGAGAGTAAAGGGAAAAGAAGAATGATGCAGAAAATCCAAGAATATTGAAGCTCAGAGGTTGTGGAAGAGAAGGGAGAATGCGCAACATTAAAGAAAATAAGGTAGACATAAGAAACTACAACTGCTGAAATCTTTGCTTTCTCTATTGTCTGTGCTGCTGTTTGGAAACAGACAGTCTCAGGGAAACTGATACCTATGCAGTATAGAGTTCTCTGTAGACAGAAATGGAAGCCTCTTTGATTTTTTGGAGAGGAGATGTTCTTGAATGAGAATGAGTTTGAGAATAGGGACTGAAGAATATATTCTCTCCCTGCTCAGAATTAATAAGACTCGTTTATCAGATTTATTAGACAAATCAATCAATTTGAGCTCATGTCACATATCCTGGATACCGAGTGCCTGTTTTATCTGATTGCTATGCTACCCTTCAAGAGATCTAAAAACAGCTGTTAACATAGATGGCATAAGAACCTTCCTTTGGGTGGGTGTTTTACCTATACCATCTGTTCTTGCCTGTGAGCTCTCCATCATCTTTCGGTATAGTCAGACTAGTTACTGTGTGCACATACAGCAATTCTCCATTGAAATCAAGGCGCTAATGAAAAAATAAAG